ATGTGATCTCCATTTCTGTGGTTCTGTTCCTGTTCTAGTTGTTTGCTTAGTTTGCTTTTGTTTCTGTTTTAGGTGTGGTTGTTAATAACTGTGAGTTTGCTATTTTACTGTTCACATTTTTGATCTTCCTTTTCTTAGATAAATCCCTTTAACATTTCATATAATAAGGACTTGGTGATGATGAACTCCTTTAACTTGACCTTATCTGAGAAGCACTTTATCTGTCCTTCCATTCTAAATGATAGCTTTGCTGGATAGAGTCCTGTTGGATGTAGGTCCTTGCCTTTCAAGACTTGGAATACTTCTTTCCAGTCTCTTCTTGCCTGTAAGGTCTCTTTTGAGAAATCAGCTGACTGTCTCATGGGAACTCCTTTGTAGGTAACTGTCTTCTTTTCTCTTGCTGCTTCTAAGATTCTCTCCTTAATTTTACTCTTGGGTAATGTAATTATGATGTGCCTTGGTGTGTTCCTCCTTGGGTCCAACTTCTTTGAGACTCTCTGAGCTTCCTGGATTTCCTGGAAGTCTATTTCCTTTGCCAGATTGGGGAGGGTCTCCTTCATTATTTGTTCGAATACATTTTCAATTTGTTGCTCTTCCTCTTCTTCTTCTAGCACCCCTATAATTTGGATGTTGGAACATTTCAAGATGTCCTGGGGGTTTCTAAGCCACTCCTCATTTTTTTTTAATTTTTGTTTCTTCATTCTTTTTTTGTCTGAATGTTTCTTTCTACCTCCTGGTCCACACCATTGATTAGAGTCCCAGTTTCCTTCACATCACTATTGGTTCCTTATACAGTTTTCTTTATTTCACTTAGCATTGCTTTCATTTTTTCATCTAATTTGCAATCAAATTCAACCAATCCTGTGAGCATCTTGATTACCAGTGTTTTGAACTGTGTATCTGATAGGTTGGCTATCTCTTCATTGCTTAGTTGTATTTTTTCTGGAGCTTTGTTCTGTTCTCTCATTTGGGCCATTATTTTTTCTCAGTACACCTGCTATGTATAAGGGGCAGAGCCCAGGTATTCACCAAGGTGGACCGACCCAGTGGCTGCGTTGTGATGTTGTATGTGGGGCAGGGGTCTGAGAGGTCTGAGTGCCTCTTGCTCAACTCCCTGCAAGATTTCAGTCACTTTCTCTGCTACCCACAAGCAAAGTGGGCCCTTCTGGTGCTGATTCCCAGGTGAGTTGGCTTGTGTACATTTTAGGACCCTCTGGGTCTCTCCAACGAACTCTCCTGTGAGGTTGGGAGTTTCTTCCACTGCTGCCTCAACACCCACAGGTGTTTTCAATCAGTGTTTTGAGGCTTTATTTCCCTGCGCTGGGACCCCAGGTTGCATGGCCTGTCTCGCTCCTCAGGTGTTTCTCCAGGTTTACCCACACATGAATGTGGGACTGCCCACTCCACCAGCCTCTGCCTTGCTGGTCCGCCACCTGCAGCTTTGCCTGCTCTGCTCCACAATCCACTGCTTCGCTGGGTCCGCCAGCTGCCACCTTGCCTGCCCTGGTCCTCCACTGCCACTTTGCCACAAGTCCTCTCCACCCGACTGCCTGTCTCTGCCCCTCCTACTGGTCTGGATGGATGTTTCTTCTTTAACTCCTTGGTTGTTAGACTTCCATACAGTTTGGTTTTCTGTCAGTTCTGGTTGTTTTTTTGTTTTTAAATTGTTGTTGTCCTTCTTTTGGTTGTGTGAGGAGGCACAGTGTGTCTACCTACGCCTCCATCTTGGCCAGAAGTCTGAAAGTTTTCCTCTTAATATCAGGAGCAATACAAAGATGTCTGCTATTCCTGCTTCTATTCAGTACTTACAGGAGATTTCAGCCAGGGTAAGTAAGGGAGACAAAGAAATAAGAGGCATCCAGATTGGGAAGAAAGAAATAAAACCATTTTATTTGTAGATGATATGATCTTGTATGTAGGAAATCCTAAGGAATATATCAAAACAAACAATTGCAGCTAATAAGCTCATCAAAACAGCAGGATACAAGAGGAATATACAAAAATCAGTTGATCAGTTGTGTTTCTATACATTAGCACTAAACAATATGAAAGTGAAATTAGGAAAATAATTCCATCAAAGAGAGTGAACTACATAGGAATAAATTTAACAAAAGAAGTATAAGACTTGTACACTTCAAACCACAAAACATTTATGAAAAAAATGAAAGAAGACCTAAGTAAAAGGAAAGCCATCTTGTGGAGGAATTGATGTTGTGAAGATGGCAATATTCCCAAAATTGATCTATAGACTCAATGTAATCTCAATCAAAATTCTAGCTGTCTTTTTGTAGATGTTGACAAGCGGATTCTAAACTTGATATGGAAATGCAAGGGACCCAGAATAGCCAAAATAATATTGAAAAAGGACAAAGCTGGAAGACTCACACTCCTTTATTTCAAAGCTTACTGCAAAGCTATAGTAATCAAAACAATGTGGCACTGGCATACTGATAGAAATATAGATGAATGGAACAGAATTGAGAGTACAGAAATAAACCAATACATCTATGGTCAATTGATTTTTATAAAGGAGCCAATGTAATTCAATGGGGAAAAAATCATCTTTCCAACAAACTGTAATGGAACAACAGGATATTCACATGCAAAAGAATAAGGTTGGACCTCCACCTCACACGATATAAAAAAATGAACTCAAAATGAATCCAAGATCTAAATGTAGAAATTTAAATTATAAAACCCTTAGAAGAAAAGATAGGTATAAATCTTTGTGACCTTAGATTAGGCAATGATTTCTTACATATGATATATAAAGCACAAGCAATCAAAGGGAAAGTGGATACATTGGAGTTCATCAAAATTTAATCAAGAAAATAAAAAGATGACCTAGAGAATAGGAGAAGATGTTTGCAAATCACCTATTTGATAGGGTTCCTATACCCAGAATATGTAAAGAACTATGAAAAGCCCACAATAAAAACAATAACCTAGTTAAAAATGGACAAAGGGTTTAAACAGACATTTCTCCAAAGATATAATTGGCTAACAAGGACATGAAAAGATGCTCAACAATGAGATACTATTTCACATCCACTAAGCAGGATGACTATAGTAAAACAAGATGGACAATAACAAGTATTGGCAAGGATACGGAGAAATAGGAACTGTCTTACATTGCTGGTGGGAATGGAAAATGGTGCAGCGGCTAAGGAAAACAGTTTAGCAGTTCCTCAAAAAGCTAAAACATTGAATTACCATATGATCCAGGAATTCTATTCCTAAGTATACACCCAAAAGAACTGCAAGCAAGGACTCAAACTGATACTCTGTACACTAATGTTCATTGCAGTATTCATGACAGCCAAAAGGTGGAAGCAACCTAAGAATCCATCAGCAAAAGAATAAACAAAATGTGGTAGTACATACAATGGAATATTATCTTCAGTTATAAAAAAAGAATAAAATTCTGGTACATCTTACAATGTGGATGAACTTTGAGAATATTGTATTAAGTGAAATAAGCCAGATGTTTAAGGGAAACTACTGTATGATTACACTTATATGAGATATACCCAGAATAGGCAAATTTATATACAGACACACTAGATTAGAGTTAGCAGGGGAGTTATGCTTAACTACAGTGTTTCTTTTTGGGGTGATAAAAAGGGTTCTGAAAACAGTGGAGATGGTTATGCAGCATTGTGGATGTAATTAATGTCCCTGAATTGTACATTTAAAGTGGTAAATTTTATGTTATGAATATATTTTAAATTTTAAAATTTAATAATATATCAAAGCCATAGAATTGTACACTTTAAAAGGGTGAATTATATGGTGCTGTACATGACACAGTCTCAATAAAAGCCGTTTTTTAAGAAGTGAAGGAAAAAAGAGAAATGAAGTCTCTCAAGCTATAAAAAGATATGGATAAATCTAAAATTCATATTGCTAAGTAGAAGAAACCAGTCTGAAAAAACGACATACCATATGATCCGACTACATGACATTCTGGAAAAGGCAAAAACTATGGAGACAGTAAAAAGATCAGTGGCTGCCAAGGGCTGCCGGGGGTGGGGGAGGAGATGAACAGGCGGAGCACCGGGCACTTGCCAGGCTGTGAGGCTGTCCGGTGTGCTAATGGAATGGGAAACACATACCATTATACATTTTCGAACCCACAGAAATGTAGAGCCGAGTGAGTGAACCCTGATGTAAACTAAGGGCTTTAGTTAATAATTGTATCAATATTGGTTCATCAATTCGAACAAATATACCACACTGATGCAAGATGTTTAACAGGAGAAACCACGTGAGGGCAGGGAAGGGTACATAAGAATGTGCACCTTGCATAATTTTTCTGTAAATCTATAACTGCTCTTTAAAAAGTCTATTTAAAAAATGTATACTTAACACAGACATTGCACTGAATTTTATCCTTTTCTCATGATTCATGAGGCTCTTCACTTTAAACACAAATGATAATTTCACATCGGATGGGAAGTGCTGATCCTTTTACCGTTGTAGAAAATCAGGCACTGCCGAATCAGCTCAGCTCATTATCCTAACCCCCTTCCCCCACTACTTCACCTCCTCCTCCAGCCCCAACAAAATTATTTTATGACCTAATTCTTTGTATTCATAAAAGCACTTGAATCTAGCTAGTCTTTGAAGATTCCAGTCTTTGGAAACTTCCTTACATTTATGCCTACATTCCAATTGAATTATAATTATGAATTACAGTGACATTATTATACCAATTTGCCATGCTTCCTGTTTTATTCACTTTGCTTATTTCCTGTGAGGTATCATTTTATCATGAATCTAAGTGCTGATTTCACATATCCTTTGGGAAAAACAGAAGATTGATCTCTAAGGCTCTCAAGAGTCAACACATAGGATTCAACTGGAAACCACAGCTACCTCAGAGGAAATGTAGCTAATACATTTAAGAACAACTTTCCCCTCCTCTTCTGGTTTTAAATGGTTCCCTCCCAAACTCCTAATCTTTATTGGCACACTGTAGAAACCTCTTTAACTGTTACCTTGGTCTTTTCCAGCTTCATCTATGTGTTGAAAATCTTTTAGCATTTTAAGGTTATAGAACCCCTCTATGCAAAACTGAATAACTTCCTTTGATCCATTCTTGATGAGATAATCCAGCAGCATAAGGGATTTATACACGTGGCGCCAGTTCTTCCCGTGGTCATTTAGTCTCTGCCATAGCATATTCATAATCTCCGAGAGGGAAATTGTGTTGAAAGTCAGGTCACTGATAGCTAACATCAGAGAACTAGAAGGACCCCAAGGATCATTAGAAGTTGCTTCCCTGACTTTTATTTCAGCGTCTGAGTAATTTTTCACGAAGTTTTTCACTTGCCTCTTGAATGCCATAGGTAAGACAAGTTTGAAGGTAGGATAGGGGATGTGAGCAATGGAATAGGAGTTTGTTTATAAAACCCATGGTAGGTAGTTGATCCTCATATCTGCTGCTCCCAAATACAAATGATTAATCATTATCTTGACAAGGCATTGGTTTCCTACAAAGAAAAACACACACAAAAAAGTAAGTTAGTTTTTTTTAATGTCTACAGAACACCAAGTCAGTCTGAAAAATCTAGCTTCGGCTTCTAAATCAGCCCCTCACTTACATCAAACAGAATTGAGGGAACCATAGAAAAGTTCCCAGGAGCATTATGGGAAAATCTCTCATAAGAGATTGGCCTACTTCATTTAGAGAATTATAAGTGGTCTTTCCAGTCTTAAAGGTTCCTGTAGAAAATATCATTCATCCTCTTTGGCCAGAAATAAGATCATTATAACGCATTTCATGGGCAGTGGACAACTTAGCATAAGAAAATGGAACTTGAGCTCCGAACATCTCATGCTTAGGATTTGTTGTCATGTATAAAAATATTAAGTTCTAAAAATAAGATGGTGAAAATTGAGTCTTAGAGTCACCAAGTAACCCTACGGTCACATTCTTTTTAGGACTGTAAGTCATTAGAATCAGATCTAAACATGGCCTGCTTTCTTGTTCATCAAAAGGGGGAAGGGTCACCAACTATTAGGACGAATCGTTGCCCCTCAGTTGGCTCCACATCGGACTCATGGTACCCTCGACCAATAGTTTAGTCCTGGTAAGACTAGTAAGTCCAAGAAAGAGGTCAAATTACTTTCTTTACTCAAATTTAGAGAAGAAAGTCTGAGTTTAGAATTAAACAGTGTCAATAGTATGATTCAAACAGTGTCAGAATTTTCCTAAAATCTGGAGTGACCAGCAGTCTCTCTTGGATCTCAAACAGGTACACAAAGAAAGGCCCAGGTAGGGTGACACGAAAATACCCGAAAACTTAAAAGGGGCATGCAGCTCCAAAATTTTGAATGATGCTTGTGAATGATCAATTTACAAGTTTGTATGAAACTATTTATTCCCTTTCTTCTTTTCCATTATTTTGCATTAAGGTGAATCCATTAGTTTGCAGTTTCCCTAGAGATTCAGCACTGATGACCATCAAAATAATGTACAACAAACTGATTTCAAGCCCTGTGAGCAGCATCTAGACCCAGTGAAGACGCCACAGTCTATAATCAGTTTTTGCCAGAGAAACTGTACACATACAAAACAAAATGGTTAAAATTCATAACAAATGAACTCATTTTTAGTTTTGTTTTGCTTCTCTTCTTTGCCCTTTTCAACTCCCAGCTCAGGCTTGATTAATTTCTGTGTGTGTATTAAAGGAAGACATAAATTTTCAAAAGCATCCTAAATGAACTATCATGTCTTTCTTAAAAAAATAAGAGAAGATAATTAACTTTTTTTTTTGTAAAAGTACAACACATCCTCAAATAAGCAGGACAGAAAATCTATCGGTTTAATTAAGATTTCTCAGAAAGAGACTGTCATCAGCCCTGGGAAGGAAAAAAGAAGTTGCATGTTTTTGAATTTTTTTGATTTACTCTTGTTTGCACGGCAGGTACAGGCATTCTGATCTGACTCACGACTGCAGCAAAAACTCGATTTATAGTGTGTTTCAATACGCTACTAAGATTTTCAGTCATGAGGGTTTTCCTTGTCTCTTGTCCTTCTCTATCAAGCTCACTCAGTGCAGAGCTGCACTGTGACACTGGCTTAGAGCAACAAATATTGATCTGCTTTCTCATGAATCTATTACAAAAACAGTCTATTAGAATCATAACTTGCTGCAATTGAACAAGTCATTACAACCCATTTTTTTCTTTTTTGGATAGCTACCTATCTACATGTTAGTGGGACAAAAATCCTAATTTTTAGGTTTTTCTCTTTTCTCCCACCTGCATTTTTAAATTTATTTATTCTGCCCCAGAAAACTAAATAATAGCCTTCAATCCAATAGAGTAGTCTCAGGTGGATGTTGTTGATACAATACTGAAACAAATACATTTCCAACCATTAGAAAACCAGAAAGAAAAAATCCGGTTAAGTGAATTAGTATCATTTACTAATATATGGTACTGTGTGACATGAATATAGAATATGTAAGACACAATTCTACTACTGCTACGTTTTTACACTAACGCGTTCAATTAATTGTAGTTGTAAATTACATGTTGGTTTACCATGTGTTTTACACACCTGACTACATGCAAACGTTCAGTTTACTCATGCTATGAAAAACTTGAGGTTATTATCATGATGATAAGACAAAATTAGTGTCCAAAAGGGTAAATTTTCACATATCTGGGTGGTCTCCCTACAGTGTGTAGAAATGGAGGGAAGTAGGATATTCCGTGTCACAAATCTATGTCACCTCCGCTGAGAGGCCTTCACTGATCTTGCTAACTACTTATGTCTTCCCATCAAACTCTTTTTGGCACCTGCTGTACCTCCTTCATGGACTTACCGTGATCTGTACATAGGCATTTATTGCTCTATGGCTTTCTCCACCACCAGACTAGTTCTTGACAGCAGACACCGTGACCATCTTATTTACCAGTGTAATCCTATTGACTAACACATACCTAACCCATAGTAGGTACTCAAGAGACAGGTGTTGGGTGAATGTCCAAATGGTTTAATGATCCTGCCTGGGGATAAACCTGCATGGATGCTACATTTTTAGAATAAACATGACGCTTTAAAAATATAATCCATGCTTTGACTGGTGTGGCTCAGTGGGCAAACTGAAGGGTTGTTGGTTCCTGGTCATGGCACATACTTTCATTGTGGACCAGGTCCCCCCGGGGTGGGAGCACACAAGAGGCAACTGATTGATGTTTCCCTAACATATCGATATTTCTCTCCCTCTCTTTCTCCCTCTTTTGCCCTCTCTTTAAAAATAAATAAATAAAATCTTATATATGTATATATGTATGTGTGTGTGTATATATATATATATATATATTCCAGCTCTTGTAATTGTCAAATAAAATTCTAGAGTATTGAGCAAATATTTGCAAATCAATCAATATTTCTTGCAAACCTACCATTTATACAGTCTTGTGGGAGATACAAGAAATATATAACAAAATCCCTATATTAAAAACACATCATTAAGGAGCTTTTCCCCTTAAATAATTCCAAAATAAACAAATGATGAGGTAGTAGAAGAGGTCTCTGTTTTCTTTTTAGGTTTATCCAGCTTCCACAATGCTTTGCCAAAGGCTGTTTGCTCTCACAGCTTTACCTGAATCATAACTGATCATTTAGGTTATCAACTGACATTAAACTGTTGGTGCACAATTCTTTATCCAAATCCTTTGAGGCCAATTGAATTGTGGAATTCAAACTCATTTATTTTTTTATTTTACTTTTTACTTTTGAAGGATAATGCCATGTCTGTAACGTATATTACATGACACCCACGGGGGGGGGGGGCGCACCCTGAACAATCAAACACATTGGCACGACAGCAGCAAAAATCTGTAACTCTATGGAATACATGAAGACCAATGGCTCGTTTCAGTCCAGGTCTTTCCACAAGTTATGGGAGAAAACTGGTTTTTAAAACTTTTTGTGTGTTAGAATTGAAAATAAGGGATTAAAGAAGCTGAAATGACTTTTACCAGAGGCCTAAGACAATGACAACAACAGCGTCTAAGAGGCTGAGTGCCAAGTAGCATCTCTAGAAAGAGAATCCAGGACGCTGCAATAACAAGGAGAAAACAGCCCTTGAGTTTGGACACGTTCTGCCTGTGGACACGCGCTCAGCCCTGGAGGAAATGAGGTCTGGCCAGGATCATGGGAGGACGACCACAGAGAACGCCAGGACCTCGGGAGGTGCAACTGTTCCGACGGAGAGAGCACTGCAAGAGGCAGAGACGCCAGCTTGTCGGAGCCCCTCCTGGGTGTTCATTAACGGATTCAATCAGGAGTTTCCCAGAGTTTCCCACGGACAGGCCCCCTTCTAGGAAATGGAGAAGCAGGTGCACAAGACGCAGTCACCACTCTCGTTAGTAGCTGGCTGCTCTTTGCTGAATGCTTGCAGCGTGCCCACATGCGCATACCTCATCTCATCACTTTAATGAGGACTCCGAAAGCATGGATTTGAGGTCCTGTTCTCCCATTTCCTAATTAAGGGTTACAACTTCTCCGGGCCTGTGCCCCATCTGCAGGAAAAGGACTAATCACACAGGGAAGACGGTTGAGAGGAAGCAATGAGGTGCGCGGGAAAGAATTCTGAACATGAACGGTGGAGGCTGAGCGAGAATGGACTTCCAGCAACTGCCCTCTGGTAGCTCACAATTTACTTGCAGGGGGAGGCTCGGAGAAGGTTTAAAGAAAGCAAGAGCGACATGTCGGTGTCACACAGCAGGGACTTTCCCTTACGAAGATAGTGCGGGACTCAACACCCTGTTCCAGCACTCGGACAGCCAGCCAGCCGGCACCGGCGTGGGACAGGGGGCGGGGCAGCAGGCCCCTTCCCGCCGACCTCCATTACCAGACCCTCCTGCTAAAGAGCAGCTACCTGCGGAGAAACTCCGGCTCCCGCGGCAGGTCCTTTCCCCACTCCAATTCAAGTCCCCTGCTTCCCAGGCCTAGCCAACTCCTCCAGGCCCCAGTGCCCACGCGCCCCCCACTTCCGCTTCCTCACTTCCGGCCTGCCACTTCCGGCTTCTCCCTGGCCTGGCGCGTGCCTCTCACGGGGCCTCCCACACCAGGGGAGGGAGGGGGGAAAAGACCCCTGCCTGGGGGTAGTGAGTGGAATGAAGGTAAATGTCCTCATTTCACAGTTTGTTCGTCTGTGGTGCTGCCTTAATTCCCCTTTCAAAGAGTCAGTTTTATAACCCGTGTCGGTGTCATTTTAACGGACCGGAAATGCCGTCCGCCCGGATTTCCACCTCAAAGGACCAAGAAGGGAGAAGCCATTCCTAGAGGTGAAGAGAGCAGTGACGGCCTCAGGGGCTGCTGACCC